TCTCTCTCTCTCTCTCTCTCTCTCTCTCTCTCTCTCTCTCTCTCTCTGTGTGTGTGTGTGTCCTCAGTAACTGCCTGGTTAAATCATATGGCCACTTACCTCTCAAAAATCTCCTGCTCCTTCTGCTGTAAGAGAAACAAAGCAAGGTCAGGCTGGCAGCACTCCCAGGAAGTGGATAAGACCTGAACACACTCTACTGCGTACAACTGTGTGTAGATACAGACTCTACAGCAAAGACCAAGCACAAAGCTTTCACATATCCACAGGTTTCCCTGTCCTCCCAACACACACGAAGAATGAATCACCCATTGCTGCCTACCCTGAGGCATCCCCAGTTCCCCTCAACTCCACTTCAGGACCATCCTTTATAGACTCAGATCCCCACTGCCCTCTGCTATGGAGATTATCAGCCCCTAGATGGCTGTTGGCTTTCTGAATCTTTTATTGTGACCATCCAAGTGGCTGGGACAGAATGTGCTCTTGCCTGGAAGCTGGTGCTGAATGAATGCACAATCTAGGACAGTCTCCATGACTGCCCTACTTGAAAGGCAGGGGGCTGGCCTGGTTGTTCTGCATTCTCCCTCTGTTACTCAGATGTCTTACCGTCCCCTCAAAACTGGAGGCATCTGCATATCTATAAAGTACTTTGAAAAGCAACACACTGAATATTAATTGTGCTTATGTCTGGGAATACCAAGACTGTATTTTTTACATTGGTGCCCTTGTCGGTGCCAAGCACGGCCTTCTTCCTGTGTACTTCCGACCTTTCTCCACCTCCCCAATTCCCTGTACCTGAGTATTTTTCTTTTTACTTCTAAGTCGCTTCATCCAGGAAGCTGTCTATGATTCACTCAACTGCCTTGGGGGATGTCCTGACCCTCAAAGCACTCCTCTACCACAGTGACGTGTCAGTGTTTATCTCTTGGGGAAGGCTGGGAGCGACTGCAGCTGTGTCCTATAACTCTGCCCCATTACACCACACCTAGGCACTCATAAGCACTTCCTTGACATTGAAACTATGTTGTTATAAGGTGCCAAAACCCTCAGATAATTATATTCCCCTGTCTCATATTAAAAATGGAATAAGCCAATGATATGTACTTGAACATATAGTAAATATAGATAGATATATGGGCCATTGCACGGAGATCTTCCAGTGGATGAGAGAGACATTGAGTTCAGCTCTGAATACAGCATGGGTGTGAATCTCCAATACAGTATGAAAACATACAATATTGATGGCCATGGAGCTGGATGGAATCAGTGGGTGGAAAACCACAGAGAGGAAACACTTCGGGGGAGGGGGAATCCTGGCTAAACCTACCTAACAGGATTCTTGCTGAAGACTGACCAGGATGATCAGACAGCACTTTGGGATAGTGGAGATATGGCATCCGATCAATGCTAAAGGCTATCAGATATCAGTGGCGGGGGCATTGGGGCGAGCTTCAATGTCTGGTGAAAAAAATCATCATCACCCATGCCCGTCCCAAAGGCTTCCTGCCAATCACCATCCCACCCACAGGCATTCTCAAGCTCTTCACACCCGGCAGATCCTGGCCCACCTCTTGCGCCCTCACCCTCTCCTGACTTACAATCAGCTGGAGGTCATTCAGGTGGGTGAGCATGTCCACCATGCTGTTGCGGAGGGTGTCCAGCTTCTGGAGTGCGTCAGCCCAGTGCACTCGCTGAGTCAGGATACTCTGGTGGGCCCGCTCCTCCTCCTCGTGCACCTGCTCCAGTAATCGCTGTTCCTCACTCTCACACAGGCTCCTCACCAGACTCAACCTCTGGATGACCAGTTCCCTTGCTGCACTAGCCATCATCTGACAAGGGATAAAATGAAGAGTCGGGTCCTGGCAAAGTCTCACTCACAAGCAAGAAGATCTGGACTTAGGGACAATGCCAACATTGACAGTGTCGCCATGGGCAGGGTAAGGAGAGTAAAGGTACTCGAGCCATTTACTCTGACATCCAGCATGTAGACTTCCTGAGTGTGGTTGAAGAGGGAGAAACTTGAGATCCAAACATCTAGGCCATGTCTCAGAAGGTCATAACCACAGAGGAGAAGGCAGACAGGGCTTAGACATCAACTGGAATCGCCTGCTTATTTCACAGTTGGAAACATGGTGGCCATGGGACAAAGGTGAGTGAACCATAGTGATCACAGGGAAGAAGGGCCTTAAAGAGACACTCTTATCAACTAGAACCAACCAGGTTCCAGTAGAAATTTCACCCTACCCAAGGCCAAAATCGTAACACCTCCTAAGGCTTGTTCATTCCAGCTGGCCCCAAGGGGGAGTTTTTATGTTCCCTTGAGGGGCTCAGAAGAAAATTTCTCAGCTAAGGGTGGTAATGAGCATCATCTTCTGACTCCCAGTGGTCAGCATCTGGCATGGAATAGGTACCTTAAAACATGGACTCAGTGACTGAGTGGGGAACTTCTGCTGTCCTAGGAAGATCTCTTGCTAGCTCTGACACAGAGAGCCAGTGGCAGAAGTGGAACCAGAAGCTCATTCCCCTGACTGTCCGTCTAGTGCTATGCCAGATGACCAATCCTCCGTTTGTGGCACAAAGCACCTGCACTTGGACTCTTGCCAGATGAGTCAGAGTAGAGCTGCCTTCTTGGTGTCAGAAGCCAAGGACAGCCAGTTGCTTCCCTGAGCCCTGTCTCTGAAGACCTGCCTCTTATATTATACGGAGTAGTCACCTCTGTTTTACACAAGAAACTGAGACCCGCAATCTACCCAGTGCAGAGGAGAGAAGAGCTTAGAATATCAAGGACGCTCACTTGAGTCTGAACCACATTGACTTCATTTGTATTGTTATAACCGCTTCCATTTGGTCTCCTGGCCTTCACTCTAGCTGCCTATGGTTACTTCCTACTATAGTTGCAAGGAACCTTTTATAAACTGAAGTCTCAATCTTTCTGCCCCACCACTCCTTTGTGTGTGTGTGTGTGCGCGTGTGTGTGTGTGTGTGTGTGTGTGTGTGCCACATGCATGTTGGATCTCCAGATGCCCAAAGTAGGTACTAGCAACCAAACTCAGGTTCTCTGGTAGAGTAGGAAGTGCTCTTAACTGCCGAGCCACCCCCGTCCCCTAAACATAAGTCTTTCTCACCTTATTCTGTTTTTGTTTGTTTTTTGTTTTTGTTTTTGTTTTTTAAGCCTTTCAGTGGCTTCTCTTTATCTGAAATGAAGTGAACCCTTCTGTGGCCAAGAGGGTGGGACCCAGCTTCTCCCTGAGACTTTTGCTTCTCTGACCCAGGTTCTCCCTGAACCTCTTGCTTCTCTGAGTTTACTTCTTCCTGCATCTGACCCGTTCACACTGCTTCAGCCTTGCAGGACTCTATGGCTCTAGCAGGTCAGGTGCCTTCCCGGCCAGGGTGTTTGCACTTGGTAACCTCTCTGCACACTCTTCCCTCACATGTGTGGTTCACTACCCCACTTCTTTGGTTTGTGAGCAAATATAAACCTTCTTTTCTTCAAACTTTAATTTATCGTGTTGTGTGGTGTGTGTGTGTGTGCGCGCGCAGGCACGTGCACGTGCAGATGGGTGTACACACTATGGTGCATCTGTGGAGGTGAGAAGACAACTTTATAGAAGTAGTTCCTATCTTTATGTGGGCTCCAGGGAACAAACTCAGGTCATCAGGTTTTGCAGCAAGGAGTTTACCTGCTAAGCCATCTTGCCAGCCCCAAATATCAACCTTTCTTATAGAGGGCATTCCTTAGCACAGCACAAGTAAACTGAACCCCCGTCAGACATGTTGTCCGTCCTCCTATTTACATCTCCTTCAAAGAATTGATTTCTTCTGACATAACATATCTCTCATTCTTACTGTCCATCTCTACTGACAGATATGTAGCATTGAAGAAAACAGGTATTTTCATGTTTGGTCACTGCAGAAGGCCCAGCACACAGGCCAGTGGTGCCTGCTACATGAAAGTGCTCAGTAAGAATCTGTTAAATAAATACTGAAATGTCGGAAGTCTCCCATTTACAGTCAGGATCTGCCACTGTAGCTTCTAGTCTATATTGTACTGAAGCTTTAGCCAGTGCAGAGAACAAGAAAATAAAAAGAGTGAGCAAGTGAAAGACAGACTGAGTAGAGAAACCAACACCATCCTGCAAACAGAAGTGGATGGATATAGACTAGTTGGACTGCTCACTGCTTCCCGGTTCCCAGTCCTGGTCCCTTTAGCTTCTGAGAGACCCCTGTGCCCTGCCATGACACTCCCTATTTGCTCACGCCAGTTTAGTTTATGCAATTAAAAGAGACTTGACTAAGGCAGTGCCAAACTTATTCTGTATGCTATGGAGGTGGGTTAGGGGATGTGCAAAAAGAAATTCACAGGGCCCTGGCCTGAAAGGCACACTTGAGAGTGGAGGCACAATAGCAAAGCTGGAAGAAGGACCAGCCATGTAGTACAGCAGTGCCAGTGGCTGGAGAGCCAGAGGATCTGGGGCATAGAACTGAGTCTGTAATGAGACAGTGGGGCCTTGGGCAAGTCAACTAACTACTCTAAGACTTATTTCCCCATCTCAAATAGAGATGCTGCCACCTACTGCATAAAATAGTTGTAAGAACACTTCAAACAGTCCTGGCATACAGGCACCTCCTTGTAATCTCAGTGCTCTAGAGATGGAAGCAGAAGTTCAGTAGTTCCTGGCTTATAGCAAATTTGAGGCCAGTCTAGGGTACATAAAACACTATTTCAGTAAGTAAAACAAAAGAATATCTCAAAAGAACTGGAGATGTAGCTCAATGGTAGAGCATTTTCTTAGCATGTACATGACCCTGGGCTCAATGCTTCAGACTGGTTAAAAAAAGATGAAGAATCCATGTAAAAGTGCCTAAGGAATTTCATAATTCTAGGGATGTACACAAAATAAATCCATATTGAAAGATATATGAATGGGGCTGGAGAGATGGCTTGGTGGTTAAGAGCACTTGTTGATCTGACAGAAGATCTGGCTTTATTTCCCAGCACCCACATAGTGGCTCCCAGGAATCTATAACTCCAGTTCTAAGTGATACAATGCCCACTTCTGGTCTCCAAGGGTGCCAGACACATACATGGCCCACATGCATACATGCAAGCAAAACAATCATACACATAAAATAAAATAAATAAATCTAAACTTTTTGTGAAAAGAACGGTACTAGTCTTTTTTACTTTCTAATCCAACGTTACTGCGAACACAGTTTTCCAGTCTGTAGCCTGTATAGTAAAGGAGAGAGTCAGCTACCTCCACTGTGAGACAATAAGGCTGTAATTAGGAAAGGGATCTTAGGCTGTCCTAGACCTGGCCTAGGCTCTTATCCTAGGAGGAGGCACAACGTGGAGAGGAAAGGAAGAATTACCACTGCTTTCTGGTTCTTCCCTTCCAGGACCTCGGCCACATACTTGGTGATGCCAGCACTCTGTAACTGCAGTCTCTCACACTGGTCCACAATCTTGTTCTGCAACACAGATGGCAGCACAGCGTCTTTATTCATACACATGGGCCACTCGCTCACTGAGTGACTTTTCATTTTTACTCTGCCCTTAATCAGACACTCCTACCCAGATATCATCATTATCAAAAGCAATACTACCCCTAAACTTTATGTCCAGGATCCCACATATGCCTACTGTGTTTCCCTTCAGATCACTAATGTTGGATTCCCCATTCCAGTAACTCATTTGGGGCCATCAAGACACTTGAGTCTTAGCCAGGCACTGGTAGCACATGTCTTCAATCCCAGCACTTAAGAGGCAAAGGCAAGTGGATCTTTGTGAGTTTGAGGCCAGCCTGGTCTACAGAGTGAGTTCCGGGACAGCCAAGGCTTCACAGAGAAAACCTGTTTCAAAGACACTTGGGTCTTGATGGGTTTGTTCCCAACTCCCTTCCTCCTCTCTCTCTCTTCTCCTCACCTTACCACTGACTACTTCCACTTCTGTTATTCTATCCAGATGGTCGCCACCTCAGAGGAATCCTGTCTGAACCCAAAGTTGGGCTTCCTTTGCCAACTTTCAGGCCTCCCATTACCACAGCCATCTTTCCGGAGGCCATCGGTATAGGCCGTGTCAGCTCAAAACCTCCCAGTCACTTTTCAATAGAGTCACAGTGGGAGCCAGACTCTTGGCCAACACGCCCTACCTGACACAACTCCTTGTCTCCTAGGCTACCTCCTGCTTCACACTAACCTTCTGTTCCTCTAAAACATCAGCTTTATCCAGCTCCAGGTTCTGGGCTTGTTCCTTCTTCCTTCAGCCATCTCCCTGATTGTCTTGCTCCCTGGATCCACTCATAAGCCACCTCCTCAGAGAGGGCCTCCCTGACTCACTCTCCCTTTGCCCTGCTTTATTTCTCTTACTTGCAACTGACAACCTTTGATGTATTTACTTTTGCATGGATTTCTGTCTCCTGCTACTGGAGCAAAAGCACCACACTCTCACCTCTGACTTACCATCCAGAGGGGAGTTCCTGCACATAAACGTAATTTAATGTTGATAAACATTATACTATAATAAGTTACAATTAAAATTATAATACATATTTATTAATGATGAACGCTCATGGCCTTGACCACAATGGAGTCTCGGTTCTCAGTTCTCAAAGTCACTAGCGTCAATTGTGAAAGAACAGACAGAGGTTTAGAAATGAGGAAGCTGAGGCAGAGGGTAAAGTGGCTCACTCTAGGAGACACAGTTAGACAACAGGACATAGCTGGCACTCTTCCACGCAGCAATCCCCCCATTACTGCCCCTAAGAACAGGTCTCAGTACCATCTGCCCCAAGGCAATCCAGCTATCTCTTCTAGAAAACTCTCCCAAACCCTTCCACCAGTCACCGAGCATGAGCTGTGGCACTGTGATCCTGTACCCAAGGACTGAGAGAACTGCGCTTAGCATTTTTCCCCTTTCCTTTAACAAATGTTTTATGAGTGTGCACTAACTCTATAGACTGTGTCACTGTAACTTCTATCACACCCTTCATTCATTCATCCATTCACTCACTCATTAGCCTCCCTCCCCCAGCCCTGATTCTCTCTTCAATGCCACACCTTCTAAGTTTCATCTCTCTTTTTTTTGAGGCAGGGTTTCTCTGTACAGTTCTGTCCCAGAACTCACTTTGTAGACCAGGTTGGCCTTGAACTCTCAGAGATCCTCCTGCCTCTACTTCCCAAGTGCTCAGACTAAAGCTATCACAGATATCTTTTTATTTATTTATTTATTTATTTATTTATTTAAGGCAAGGCCTCATTGTGAAATCCAAACTGGCCTCAAACTTCCCATCTCTTTGCCTCGCTGATACAGGAGTGTGCTACCACAGCCAGTTCATGGTGTCCTTTTATGGCTTGGGTCTAGGTTCCACATATGAGAGAAAACATGTGACAGTTGTCTTTCTCAATCAGGCTTGTTTCACTTAACGTGGAGGTCTCCACTCTACCCATTTCCTGCCAATCACACACTCTTATCCTGTATTATGGAATAATGCTCTAGTGCATGTGAATACGTTCCCATTTTTCTTATCCATTCATCCACTAATAGGCACCTAGGCTGGTTCCTTCCTGAGTTTGCCTCCTAACTAGCTTCAAGGCATGAATCCAGAAGCTAAGAGCAGTTGAACTGGTCTTATTTTCTCCAGGTCAGTAGTGATTATGCTCCAGGGACAATTTCTCTACAGGATGGAGGGATAGGAGGAGTGTGTTGAAGACATTGTAAACCCTAGGGCTGGGCATGCAGCTCAGTGGTCTAGAATACATGAGGCTCTGGTTAAACCTAGCATCAAAAAATAATAATAGCCGGGTAGTGGTGGCGCACGCCTTTAATCCCAGCACTTGGGAGGCAGAGGCAGGCGGATTTCTGAGTTTGAGGCCAGCCTGGTCTACCGAGTGAGTTCCAGGACAGCCAGGGCTACACAGAGAAACTCTGTCTCGAAAAAAACAAAATAATAATAATACTAATCTCGAGAGTAGAAAGACAGCAAGACTCACTTCCCTTACGCCCAGGCTGGGTGTAAGTGTAAGGTTTAGCGTGGCCCAAGGAAGGCACCTGGGCAGAGTACCAAACTTGCTATCCTGCCCCTGCCTTCACCCTTTCCACCACTTATAGGCGTGATGGCTACTTTTCAAGGTTTTCCATTAAGTCACTTCCTCTTCATAACCACTGAGATCAAAAAGTGGTTTCCTCTTGCCCAGTCAATGAATCTCCCTCTCTTAAACCCTGAATATTAAGAGTCTGGGAGGAGTTACCATTCTCCTGTGGGCCCCCTTTTCCTCATCTGAAAAACCTGAGTTATAACTAATGCTTCAGAAGCCCAGCCTGGATGGAACTCGATGATAAATATCTAAGTCCTTAGGAATTTGTAAAGTCCTTACCCATGATGCAAGCTGATTTATATCAACTTTTCTCAAGTTTATTTTCACCATCCCTGAGTAACTGAACTCCACTAGCCCCAGTTTCCAGGAAGGTGTGTTTATTACAATCTAGTTTGAGTAGGTGATGTCCCCAGCGACAGCTCTCAGTGCACAGCAGGGCTCAATGCCAGGGTGGGGTTGGGAGAATTAAGCCATTTAATCAAATTGCAAAGAGTTCCCCAGGGGCCACAGCTAGAATGAAAGGAAGGCGGCAGCACCAAGGTGACTTGGCCTCCAATCTCAGCAGCTCAGGGAAAAGGGTGGGGGTGTAACGGAAAATGACCAGCCCAGAACCACACTGAACCAAGCGATGAGGAGGCCTTAGGAGGTGGAGTGACCTGCTATTCTCCCACCCCATCCATCACTTCAGTTACAGTCAAAGCCAGGTTGGAAGGGAACTAGACCCCTCACCAGGAAACCTGAGGGGAGATAGGAGGAGTCTCTAAGTCAAGGGGTGAGGGGGGACTACGTTTTTACGAGGTCAGCTATAGCAAACATGTAGTATTATGAATGCCCCGAAACTACTGATGAAAGACACCAAGCTAGGATCCGTGACTCACAGGGAGGGGGCAGGATTCAAACTCGTATCCAGTTTGCTCCAGCAGTCACACCTTTAACTACCTCCTTATGCAAGGGAAGCCATAGAGAAGCCACTCTCCCCCAGGGTCCCTGGTCCCTGCCAGTCCCCACGCCCCAAGAAAGCCACCCTAGTTCCCCGCCCCACGCCCGCTCACTCTCAGCTTCTCGGCGTGCTCCTCGGCCCGGCGGATGCGGTGCCGGTGACAGCGGCCGCCAAACCCGGCGCAGGTGGCGCATACCGGCCGCCGCTCCGAGAGGCAGAACCAGCTCAGAGGCTCGCAGTGCTCGGGGCACAACTGGCTCGGCTCGGACCCCTGCCTCGATTCCCGCCCTAGTTCGGGTCTTGGCCCCGGCCCCGGCCCCGGCCCTGGCTCCGGCTCAGGCCCGGATCCTGGCTTCGGTCTTGGCTCCGGTCCGGGCTCTGACTCGGGGGACTCCGACCCAGACTCCGACCCGGAGACATCAGCGGACATGGCCGAGTGCCGGAGGCCGCGCGCTCCACCTGTCGCAGGTGCCGGGGGCGTGGCCCTTTCAGGTCCCGCCCTCTCTGACTTCGCCCCTCCCAGGCTGCGCCCGCGCGCTGACCCACGCCACACTGGTCCCGCCTGCATCTGTAGGCTGTAGTTTGTACGATTAAGTTGTGTTGTGTCAGAGTTTTTAAAACAAACACCTAACAACTGACATTCTAGTGGCTATATGAATCTTTAGTGAGCAGTTACGAAGTGTCAGATTTTTTTGCTAAGTGCATTTAACAGCGTGCTTGAGAGGTAGCTTTAGGCATGTGTCTTAAATACAGGCTCATTTCTCAGTTGTGCTTGACTGTTAAAGGGGGTTGAGATGATCTCTTTCACATACTTGAGTTGAGGAGTAGGTAAGTGGATGCACATGAAATGAGTCAGTTATGGTGACACAAATCTGTAATCCCAGCTCTTGGGAGATATGGAGGTGTGAAGATCAGGAGTTCAGGTCATCCTGGAACATACAAAATTCGAGGCCAGCCTGGGCTACGTAAGACTTTGTCTCAAAGACAAAATACAAACTGTAAAATCAAAATACAAACTGTAAGTGGTGGCACACGCCTTTAGTCCGAGCACTCAAGAGGCAAAAGCTGAGGGATTTCTGTGAGTTAGAGGGAGTCTGGTTTATATAGCAAGTTCTAGGCCAGCCAGAGGGACAGAGGGAAACAGTCTTAAAACAAAACAAAACAAAAAAAAGACTACAACAAATCAGAAAAATATGAACAGTGTCAGGCACTCAGGAGCTGCTCAGTGCTAACAGCAAAAGGAAAAACAGTATCGTGACACATATTTATCACATTTGTTGGGAGGGGGGAGCGAGCGCCACAGTAGAGCTGACAGGAATAGGATCCCTCCTTCCGCCATGTGGGTTCTGGAAATTGGACCTAAGTCACCAGACTTGGCAGCAAGCGCCATCATCCTCTGAGCGACCCCATCCCTGATTACTATTTTATGGAAATTAAGTAACTCGTGGAGTCTCAGTCGCTGATTGATGGCAATGATACCAAAACCCAAGCAGTTTAACTTTAGGTTACCTGGATGAGTAATTTTTAAGTTACAACATATTGAGAAGCATTGAAAAAGCTGATTTTCCAAGTAGTGTATTTGCATTCAAATTTCCTGAATCTGATTATTTGGGATTTTTATTTTTTAAATTAACATTGATGAAAAAGTAATGTACATCTATTTGGAAAACAATGGAATATGTAAATAAGCATAGAAGGGATTTAAAAATCCAAAATACCCATTCCAAGAACAACTAACTTCTGAGACTCCCTCTGCCTCTTTGATGAATCAAACTGAACCCAGGGGGAGCCTTCTGCAGGGCATGCAGCCTGGTGTTCCTGATGTGTCAGGAAAACTAGCCCAAAGTTGGCCTCCTTGGGGCTTACAGCTCTACACTGAAAACCCTCAAAGCCACCACTACAAAAAGAGAATAAAACTTTTCCTTTGTAGTCCTGGCTTAGCCCCCAGATTTGAGTGCAGCCAAAAGCCCTGAGGTCACTCAGAGTCGTACTGAGCGGAGTCATCCTTCCAGTATGGACACAAGGCCACTCAAACACACAAATACTATATACCAAGCAACAGGGAGGCAACATAGAAATGTACGGTTATTGGTTATACAGCTCCTGGCTGTAGGTCTTGGTCAGATTCCCTTGTTCTTCTGGTCTCTTTTTTCTCTTCGATACAATAAAGAAATAATATATCTTACTTAAAGGCCTGCCTCAAGAATTAAATGCAATCTTATCAGTGAAGTGCTTAGTTTGGGGGTTTAACATATACCAGGCATGGAGAAATGGCCTTTATTACACATGAGGACTTGAAATATACTTATAGAAAGTTTCAGAATGCAAATTATATTAGGTTCTTAAAAGGGTGGGTACTGTGGTGCTGGCATTAAAAAAGGGGGGGGGCTGGGTAGTGGTAGCGCACATCTTTAATCCCAGCATTTGGGAGGCAGAGACAGGCAGATTTCTGAGTTCGAGGCCAGCCTGGTCTACAGAGTGAGCTCCAGGACAGCCAGAACTACACAGAGAAACCCTGTCTCAAAAAACAAAACAAAACAAAAAAACAAAAAAAAAAAAAGGAAAAGGTAAAGAAAAGAAAAAAAACTGGTCTAGCAAGCTAGAGAGATGGTTCAATAGTTAAGAATGCATTCTGTTCTTGCAGAGGATCTGAGTTCTTTTCCCAACACACAACTACCTGTAACCCCAGCTCTAGGGGATCCAGTGACCTCAACAATCATCTGTTCTCATGAGCACATACCCATGTGGAAACACATAATTAAAAATAAATCTTAAAAATAAATAAATACAAGTTCTTTTTTTAAAAATGTGGTGCTGTGTGGGACCGTGCAAGGATAGCTTGGTTCCTAGTCAAGTGCAGGCCTCAAACCCTGGACCCTAATGGAACAACGGCAGGTGTTTGGTTATGTCCCCAGACTCCAGGCTCCTGACGCGTGACCAAGACCTTCATTGGTCCACACTTGTCAGTCACGGTAAGGCAATGCAACCCCTCCCAAAGAGGTTTGTGTCACCTAGGACAGGTAAAGGGCATGACTATAGTCCTCAGCCTCGAGAGATTTCCATATTAATGAGATACCTAAAGGTCAGAGGGCATAGTCAATTAAATATTCCTTCTTAGACCCTCCTTCCTCCTCCTTCCTTCCTCCTCTCTCTTCCCTCCCTATTTAAGTCAGGTCCGCCCTGAGTTTGGGGGTGTGCAGTCAGATCCATCTGCCATCCACCATGACATTAAAACTTTTCAAAACCACGGACCTCCTCGTGTCTTTTGGGGCCCGCCATTGGGAACCGTGGAGAAAGTCTCAACTATCGAGCTGTCGAATAATCACCCGTGGAGGACTTCTCTGCATTCCAGCCACAGGGACCCTCAATTCAACCAAGCTAGCCGACCCTGCCAAGCGTGTACAGCAACCAAAAGTCTCTTTCCCACAGGGTGCTGTCGGGGCCTCTCTTTCCCCCCTCGTTCCTCTCTCATCTCTGTTCGACCTCTGCCCCCCGCAGTGGCATCTGGGAGCCCCAAATGGAGACCACTGGCCTCTGGATCCACTCAAGAGCCCTGCCCCCTGCGGAACTTCAGACTGAGATCTCCCTCTCCACACCTGGGCGGGGCCCTGCAGTGTCCACCCAGCACCGTGTGGAGTGAACTCAGTCAAAATTCCCACACGCTTTTTGCCTCCCTGAGCTGTGGCAGACACGAGGGAACCACAACTCAGCCCAAAAGAATCCATGCCCGCGAACCGCTCCACGTGCATTCCAGGGCAAATACTTCAAAGTATTCATCCTCCTTTAAAGTAGAGATGGAGACAGGCCATGGTAAATAGAAATTGTAGTTAGATTTTTGTTGTTGTTGTTGTTACTACTGTTCAAAAGAGGAACCCGTGGGGTACAGAGAAAGATACTCCATGAGGCCCTTGGGGGATGCTGGACACCCTCACTGGGAGTGCCTTTGAGAGGGCCCCTACAAAGCTTCAGACAAACCACCAGATAGAGGGGCTTCTGGGCATATGGACAAGCACATGCAGATAGCTAAGTGGTGAGTGGATTTATGTTTAGAAAGCTGGGTTCTTCTGTCCCACTGCCAGCCATAAGGGAAAACCACACAAACCGTCTGAGGTCAGGGTTAGCATGTTACCCTTTGGATGATGTTAAGTTGGACTAAGGTGGTGGCTAGAGAAGAATAGACAGGCTTTTGTTTTTAGGATAAACAGAAGGCAGAACTGAGAAACCTTGAGTGATGATTGCTCTGAACAAGGAAGAGAGGGAGATGTTACAAGTCATCCCCCTCCCCTGGAAAGAGCAGTGGGCCCTGCAAGACAGCAGGCCTGCACACCCAGACAGTCCCAGACTTTAGGCAGGATCAGAATCACTGGGGGATAGGAAATCTTTTTTTTTCTTTTTTTTTCTTTTTTTTTTTTTTTTTTGGTTTTTTGAGACAGAAACCTTGTCTCTGTGTAGTTCTGGCTGTCCTGGAACTCACTCTGTAGACCAGGCTGGCCTCGAACTCAGAAATCCGCCTGCCTCTGCCTCCCAAGTGCTGGGTTTAAAGGCGTATGCCACCACTGCCCGGGAGAAATGAATTTTCTAATAGGAAATGAATCACAAAGTCTGTGGTAGAACCAAGAATCTATGTTTTTAGCAGTCATGCCATGATTAGGACCCAGATGAACCCTCTGAACTAAAAGAGGCTTTAAGCAGCAGTAACTATTTTATTAGGTAGGGTTAACAAGTCAAGGAAGGAGGAAGGAGGAAGGAGGAAGGGAAGAATATGAGCAGAGTAAAGCTTGTTGCCTCTCGGTTACGTGCTGTGAGAGACCATCATTTTGGACTAGCTCCCATACAGGCCTCAACAGACCCAAATGGAAATCAAAATGGAGTCACTCCAGCTCAAGTTCACTATCAAACCAAAACTAGCTCATCGAAAACTTGCTTGCCTGGAACTTCCCAGAAACCAAGCTACAAGGGGGAGAAGAGGAGGTCATGTGACAGAAAGAAAGAGAGTATTAACCAAACAAACAAGATTTAGCTCAGTTAACTAGGAATTCCCCTCCATATTGACTCTACAAAGAAAGTAACTCTGAGTTGATTTTATTTCTGCTTTCTGTAATCCTCAGAGCTAACCTCATCTACAAAGTCCATCCATTTTATAGAATGAGAGTTTTGTCCAGTTCTAGAATTGTTAATAAAAACCAATTAGATCATGTAAATAAATGTATAGAAATTTGATCTTTAGGCTATATGTAAGGAGGAAGTGGGGACCATGTTTCTTTCTGTGGATGATAAAAAAAGAAAAGAATGGGGCTGGAGAGATGGCTCAGCGGTTAAGAGCACTGACTGCTCTTCCGGAGGTCATGAGTTCAAATCCCAGCAACCACATGGTGGCTCACAACCATCTGTAATGAGATCTGATGTCCTCTTAAGGGTATCTGAAGATAGCTACAGTGTACTCACATATAATAAAAAAAACTT